TCAGTCCTGAATATTCATTGGAAGGACTGATGCTGAAGCTCCAATACTTTGACCACCTGATGGGAAGAGCAAGCTCATTGGAAAAGACCCTGATGCTGGGAAAGACTGAAGGCAAAAAAGAGAAGGGGGCAACAGGGGATGAGATGGTTGAATGGCATCACCGACTCAACAAACGTGAGTTTGCACAAGCTCCGGGAGATGGTGAAGGACAGGGAAGCCTGGTGTGCTGCAGCCCACGGGGTCACAAGGAGTCGGACAGGACTGAGAGCCTGAACAACAACAAAGAGTGTCAGGTGGAAATAAACCATGAAAAGGATTCTAAGAGGGGTGGACAGGTAAGCAGAGAGCAAACAGCAGGCGTGTGTGTCTTAAATAATGCATACACTAGTTTACATAGGGTGGCAAGGAAAGCCTTCTCCTGTAAGTCCTGAGGAAAAGTATGCGGGCTGCTTAGAGATGTGTGGGGAACTCAGCTAGGACAGGAAACACTGAAGCAAAGCCCTGGAGTGGAAGGGCTGTGAACAGAAGGGGATGGGGGCTGGAGGAGCCCAGCACAAGGTCACCAGGGCAGCGGGAGGCCGGAGCGCCTGGACCCACAGGCCTCTCTGTAAGATCTTTGGGTTTTTTCCATCTGTAGTGGGGGGATCACTGAAGAACTGTGGGCAGAAGTTATTTTCAAATATTTGACAAGGCAGAACAGAGTAGCTATTGTCACATGGTGTAACCATAAGGGATGTGATACATAGAAAATGAATAGTCTATCACTGTTCTTTAACTCTGATGTGGTTCATCTAGACTGTATGAACCAGTTAGTCATATGAAACTGTAGTTTCTATGGGTCAAAAATGGTGGAACATCATCAAAAGTTCCGACCTTATTGGATAGGGTTAGGAAAGGAGCACAGAACACAGGCTTTAGAATACAATGTAACTGGATTTGAATTCCACGCCTAGGACCCACGAGCTATAACCTTGGGGAAGTTATTTAATCTCCTTCGTGGGTTTCCCCTTATGTAAAATGGGGCTACTAGCATAACCTAAGTTACAAGGCTGAACTAAAAATTAAATGAGGTATACATTCAGCACTAGGCCTAGGAGCTTAATAAAGAAGTGAACAGATTACAGAGACTGAACATTTTACACTAAAGTCAAATGAATAACTTAGTACCAAAACCCTTCACAACTATCATTCTGCCAGCTACTAAGGAAACACGCCTTAGTTTTTGAAGCGACAACAGCTTTTGATTAAATGACTATTCCCTGCATTTAGAATATTCATCCTTTAATAGATAATTAGGTGAATATCCTTGGTAACCCACTCCAGTCTTTTTGCCTGAAGAATCCCCATGGACAGATAAGCCTGGCCAGGCTACAGTCCACGGGGCTGCAGAGAGTCAGACACGACTGATGGACTAAGCACAGCGCAGCTCAGGTGAATCTTCTATAGCTCTAACAATGATGGGTGTTGGTGAACTTAAAATATTTGTGTTTAATGTTTCCAACCAGTCCATCCTAAAGGAGATCAGTCCTGTGTGTTCCTCGGAAGGACTGATGTTGAAGCTGAAACTCCAATACTTTGGTCACCTGATACAAAGAGCTGACTCATTGGAAAAGACCCTGATGCTGGGAAAGATTGCGGGCAGGAGAAGGGGACGACAGAGGATGAGATGGTTGGATGGCATCACCAACTAGAGGGACATGGGACTGGGTGGACTCCGGGGGTTGGTGATGGACAGGGAGGCCTGGCGGGCTGTGGTTCATGGGATCGCAGAGTCGGACACGACTGAGGGACTGAACGAACTGAATGTTTTCAACTTTGTCTAGCAAAGCAGTTCTATGTCCTCTATCCACTTAGCTTCAAATGCAAACTCACTTTATGCTTTTAAATGAATAGGCCAGAAGCTACTTGTCACTCAAGTTTTTGTTTGAAATTCATTTAATAGTTTCAATAGTTCAATAGTTTCAACACTCAAAAAGTGTTCCTCAGAATGTCTGAAACAAAACTTTATAAGAGAAACAAAAAACAGCCAACAAATCCACTTATTTAGAACTCGGTAGACATGACTTCAGACATGAAACTATTTCAGCATATGTCACTCACACAATGCTCGGTTTTTGTATACATTATTTTGTATACATTATCAACTGAACATGTCATAAAGGACTTGCAATAAAGTGCAGATGCAGATTTGGTGGCTGACCACATTCTGCAAACCAAATTTTTTGAACTGCAGTGTGGCTGTTCAGAAAATTCCTTCCCAAAGAAATCAGAATGTTTGAAATGCAGCCTAACTGCAGGAAAACCCCCTTGCCCAGTGTAGGGTTATTTCTGCATGTGTGCAAACACCAGTGTTGACTTTGCGCTTTTCCAACTTAGGCGCCCGCTCCTCGGTCCGCCTCGCCATCACGGCTGCACGGGATCATTACTGGATACCGAAGCCATCGCGAAGCGCTGCAGACGGCGCTCCCGATCCGCTCCGAATTCGGTCCCGCCGGTGCACGCGCCTCGCCGCAGCGGCTCTCGGGAGGGCTGGGGGCCACGGAAGCGCGGACCCCAACGTACTGGCCCAGCCACGCCGTCGGGCGGGCCAGAGGCGCCCACGGCTGGGGGGAACCCGCCGCGCGACACCGAGGCCGGAGGCAAACGCGAGGAGCCCGAGAGGTCGCCGTGCGGGCCCACCGTGGAACGCGTCCTGACAGGGCAGCCCGCGGACCGGGAGCGGAGACTACGCTACGTCGCGGGCCCGACGGCCCGGCACTGCGCGGTGGCGGCGATGGTGGAAGGGGAGGCCCCCACACCAGGACCCCCGCCCACCCCGGCCCGCGCCCCTCCCCCGCCCCACCCCACGCAGGCGCGAGGCACGCCCCGCCCCTTCCCCCTAGGCTCGCGGGTCCCCCGAGGGGGCGGGGCGACCCTCGGAAGGGGCGTGGCCGCCGGCCTCGACGCACGCACGCACGCGCTCTCGGGCTTCACGGCTACGTGTCGGGCCACGTGACGCCCACCCCGAAAGTCCCCCCGTGAAGCAACAGGACGTTAAAAAAAAAAAAAATTTGTTTTGGGGGGTGGGGGCGGGGAGGGCGGCTGAGTAGCTTTAAAACAACCTATAGTAACGGGGGGAAGGGACGGGGCCGTGAGGCGGCGAGCGCGGCCCTGACACGCCGTAGCCCGTCCCGCTGGAAACCCCTCTCCCCCTAACGCCACAGCCCGACCGCTCCCGCCAAGAAGAGCCGGCCCGGCGGCGCGGCCGGCGCCCCCTCAGCCTCCACACGCCCCATCCCGAAGCACCGCCGCCGCCCTCCCCCCGTCCTGCGGCCCCGCAGCGGCCCCTCCCTCCGCTCGCCCGAAGCGGCGATCCCCCGGCCCGGCGCCCAGGCCGGGCTGGCTGTGTACCGCCTCCGTCACGCCGGCCGCCGCCGTTCCCCTCAGGCCGCCTGAGGGAGACGGCGCGGCGGCGGCGGCGGCGGGAGGAGGAGCGCGCCGGCCGGGCCCCGCTAACGGCCGCCCTGC